GAAGAGGGATGGAACGTTACAAGCTGCAAAATGGAACGCTTCTCTAGCATCTAAAATGAAAACGAAATTGATAAGTAAGTCCCGTTGAAATGAAACTGAAGCCGTTTACTGTACTTAGAATGTATGACTTCAAAAGGAGTAGTGAGTGTATTGAACGTGATTTGTTGAATTGCTGCATGTTAAAAATATTCAGGTGGTAGGCTGAGAATTTTTGGAGAGTGTAAAAGTTAAAGCACATAATTGTAAGTTAGTTATTTATCTAATTCTCCAAGTATTTTCAGTATTTTCGAAGCTTGCTCTTTGGCAAGTGCATTTCTGACATCCATGTGCACATTCACGTGGGGTGTCTAAAAACTGAGGTACAAAAATGAGTAAAATCAATGGCCTTTTAAAATATAGGTGCCATAGTGAAATACCTAGTATCCCTATTTGCAAAATGGGATTTATATGAAGTTCTTCGTTGAGTCATTTACTGAATCAAGGAAAACTAGAAATACTAACCTGCTGATTTAATCACTGGCCAGAAGGTACTTTGTTTTCCCAGTAAATCAGGATTAAATTCAAACGTACGTTTGTCAAGGTAAATGATTGGGTTTTGTTTCTGGCTCTGACAAGAACAACACTATGGAACATCTCGGATCCTCTTCTGCAAAAGGTAGGGAAACTATGAACATAGTGAAACACTGCTATTTCAAAGCTCTCTAATTCAAGCAGCATGGTTTATTGAATGCTTCTCTTTCTGTGATCGGTGTGGCAAGAATTTTTGTTGTTTGTATATATATTTTTTGTTGTTTGTTTTTATATATTTATTTGAGCTTACTGTGGCTTTATGTCAAAGCCACTAATTTTCACTGAAAAAGTAAACAGTATAGATTAATAAAGTCTTTTAGAAACCTCCACACTGCAGTAATACAAATAATTCACTCAGCTGAATAGTAATTTCAAAGCACATTCTTTGGATTAACAAGGTTCCACTGTTGTTGCCTCCTTCCCAAAGCAAAGAAATAAGGCCTTGCAAATATTGGATTATAGATCACAGAAGTAATAACATAAGATAGGGTAGATATGTAGTTGGAGCAGATTTCAAGCTAACTTTGCTCCTTTTTGTATTATAAAAGAGTATGGTCAGACTTGGGTTCAAGTTAACTCTGTGTATACTATGACTGTGAGGCAAAAAAAGTCATCCTGGTAATATCCAGTGTCACTGCGTGGGTGGGGGAGTTCCTAAAACATACTGTAATGGATGCAGGCAGGCAGGTTTTCATTAGCACAGTGGAAGGTGTATTTCTAATGTAAAGCTTTTCTTTCTGTTGTCAAAGCTCACATGTATGCTGAAATGTTTGAACTTTTTAATTTGTAAGATGTATACTTGTTCTTTAGAAATTTGGAAACGTTTTTATGCCTGTGAAACTATCCATTTTTAAATGCTTTCTTCTTAAAACAACCTTATGTTAAAAAATCCAGACTAGAGCAGAGTCCGTGCATGAAATAAACTTGAACTTGAAGCTTACAGAGTAGTCATTAGAATGACAGAAATGGTTTTATTTTGGAAAGTGTTAGGCTTTGCCATTGTTCCACCAAAACTTACAGATAAAAATGTTGTTATATAGCAATAGTTCATGCAGAGACGGCCTGGAATTGAAGCTGTTGACAATGATTTTGTCTCCTTTAGATAATTCACCTATGTTCAAAGCATCTTTAACACAAAATAATAAAGCATTAGCTGTGGCTTTGAGTGTGGTGAAAGAAAATTCTCAGAAGCTAAAGAAGGAGAAGATTTTTCTTCAGAAGGAAGTAGAAAAGCTGCAGCTTCATAATATCTTGCTTCGTCAAAAACTAAGCTGTTTGGTATGCTGCAAATAATATCATTTAAACTTATATCAGCTAAACCAACCTTTTACCTTTTTTGGAAACTTAATATTGTTTCTTAAAATGGTGATTTAAAATGTACATCTCGGATTTGTGAAGTTATATCACCTGATAGCATACTAATCACATTTGATTTTTCTATTTGATAGGATTTTTTTGTACTTACTGTTTTGCCCATCAGTGTATATGCCTATCCATTGCTATTTTAGTGTCAGCTTCACCTTTATGTTTATAGATATTAAGAAGGTATTAAAAATCAGTTTGTGCTAAATTTAGAGAAAAGAAAAATTTACAACATAGGTTCACCTTTATGTCTTTTCTTAAGCCAGAAACCACTTAAAATATGTTTTTTTAAATTTCTTTTTTTTACACGCAGAATAAAACTCTTATTGAAGTAGAAGCATTTTTGAATGATAACCTCTTAAGTGCAATAGAAATAAGCAGTCTTTGTGAGGTAAGATGTTTTTTTGAACTATTACCACATTGAACTCATTTTCCAGGATAATATTTTCAAAGCATCTAAATGAGTGCAATGTTGAAATCACAGATGCATTTTAAAACATTTACCCCAGTTCCTTAAAACTTGGGATGAAACACTAGTCTAGTGAAATCAATTACATTTTGCTGTTCCTTGCACTAAAAATTTAGGAATTAATCTTGTTTACAAAGTATCTAAGAGTTAAATATCAGTTAGCCTTAATGAAATTATGTAGTTAAAAGAAAAAAACAACAACACAGTACTTCAGTATGTAGTATTCTTCGCAAATGAGTGAGCTACTTGCCTTCCTTGCTTAGTGCGGCAATAAATATCTTGCATGTGGAAACTTCACCAGAAAACACAGTCCATGTTAGTCCTTGTATTATGGCAAAATTACAGTCACGTTTTTATAAATATTATTTTTATTGCCCGTTCTAAACGGTTGCTTAGTGTTGCTCTATGCTTCTATATGTATAAATGCACTTTGCATTAGTTATACCTACATTAAGAAAGTCTAGACATTGCTCTGGGATGCAGGTAGGTTACAGATTCTGATAAGTTTTGCTACAAAATATTTTTCTTTAAAATTATTGTGTGTGTTTGAATATCACACACCTTTCATCAGTACGTCTGTGTTTTGCCCATTTGTTTTTTGTGGTTTTTTTTTCCCTGTGGATATTTCTGATATTGAAAACATAAGAGAATATTCAACTGTTTCTACTTCCCCACTGTTCTTCTTTTGAAAGAATCTTCAGAGGAGTTCTCTTCCTCTGTCAGCTGGTCCAAGTAGCCTTACTGATGACTGGTTCAAGGGTACACGTCAGTCTGCTAGGTAGGTGGTTGTATTAAATTTGGAAGTTGGTAAGTGTCTGAGGATTTTTTTTTTTTTTTGCAACTAATCTTTGTATATTGTCCTAGGTATTTTTAAGGTAGTGAGAAACAGTTTCCTGTCTAATTCAGAAGTCACCTGTTTGCAACTGGGAATTTATATAGAGAGAGTGGTAGACAAAACTGGTATTTGAATAACTTGCTTCTTCCCGCATGGGATCTCACCAGTACAAAGCAGGATTCTCTGTCATAAAAAACCACATTTGCCCCTAAGATAGAACCAGATTTCATGCTAGAGTTCTTGTTTTCTGCTTTTATCTATTATTAAAGGAATGTTTTAAACAATTGAATATTACAGCATAAAATGTAATAAAAATCTTCACAGTAAAATTTCCTCTTTTCAGATCTGTAGAATTGCCAGTGAAGGTTCCTTTAATTTCAATAGCTAATGCAAAGACAGCCCTTCTGTATGTGAAATACGAAATGCTTATAAATGTACCACTATTTTGTCAAAGGAAATGCATTCAGATCAAGTCAAGTTTGCATTATCATTGCCTTCTGGTACAAATAATCCAAACTTATTTGAAACAGACCTGGTGGACACAACCATTGACAAAAATATGTTTTTAAAAGGTATGATATATTTCAGACCTATCTGAGAATTAGTATTTAATAATTCATTACTTGATGTGCGATACAGAAGGTATAATAAGATTCCTAAACTGTAATAAACTAATAAAAAATAGAATCATCACCCATAAGTCTAGGTGTCCTGACAATCACTTGCAGAATAATGTTCACTGAAATAAGACAGCTGAAATGTAACAAAATTAGTATGAGCAGAATAAAACTTTGATAAAATAACCAAATAATAACTGAAGTAGTTATGGAAAAATGAATTTTTATTTATATCCAATTTCAAAAGTCAATTTTTGGTAAAATATGAAATTAGTTCTAGTTAACTGAATTTTTAAGGACCAACCACAGAATGTGTGTATTGGGCAGGAGAGGGAGAAGCATTTTTTTAATTTTCCATGTTTCCGGTCCAACCTTCAGTAATCTGTCTTATTCTGATAACTATATTCTTTCTTTCCCCAAGCTGCTGAAATTTTTATTTTTGCAGAAAATCAATTACGCACAGAATTGACTTGCAATAGTGCCTTCCTGACTCATGTCAAAAATAAACAATCTTTAAGACAGTCTGAGGAGCGTACAAAACAATATAATGATAATTCATTGCCATTCTGTGGAAGTGTGACTGAAAGGAAGACACATGCAGTACTTCATAAGTCAAAAGCTCAACCTAATATAAAGGATTTTGATAAAAAGTGTAGCTCAAATAATCTGCCTCATCATGATAACAACAGCAGCAGCAACACCAATGACATGAATTTGCAGGAAAGTTCGGGTGACTTGTCTCGCATTATTCCTTCACCTCTTAAATTTAGCAATGGAAATAAGACAGATTTTAAGAAGCAGTTTGTTACTGACAAGGTGAAGCCCGAGGAAACTGTTTACGATGCTGATATGGAGTTGACCGCCAGTGATGCGGGTGAACTACTCACAGTTACAATGAAAGACAAAGATACATTACACCAAAATAAAAGCAGTAATGTCAACTCTGATAAAATATCAGCGAATCTCAGAAAAGTACAACATTCTAAGAAGGATAAAGAGAAAATTAAAAGCAAGACTAAAGTCAGTTCAAATGTAGTGAAACAGAGTTTGCTAAATACCAGCAAATATTATCAAGCACAAAATTGTCCAAGTAAAGCTGAAGATACTAGGGGCATATACCAGGTTAACTTAATGACTCCAAGAAATCAGGAGACAAATAAAGAAACTTCCTCAGAAACATCTGAAGACATGGAAAGCAAAATACAAAAAGCAGGCTCAAACTCATCTATTAACAAGATCCCACCAGAATTTTCTTGTGCTGAAAATTTACCATTCCAAGACAACACTTCTAATGTATTGTCTTTACAGTTGGACTTTCTGCATACAAATGAGAAACACAGGAAACTAAAAATAAACAGGAAAACTTTTCAAAACCCTTCTAAAATGTACACAGCAAAATACTGTAGAGAGGAAAATGGGCAGTATGGAGAACATATTTCAAAAAAGTCTCAAACAGAGATATGCCGATATGACAGCAAGAGAAAACAAGACCGGAAGAATATTACAAAGAGAAAATACAACAAAAAAAGTAGTTACAGACAAAGTGGAGAAACTGAAAGGGACAGCATTCATAAAATTACTCAGAAAGTAGACCAAAAGAGTAGCCGGTTTTCGCCAGGCAGATTAAAACGTACATTGGCAAAGGCCAGCCGGAAAGCATATATAATACCAAAAGAAAATCCTATACAATCCTCGCTTTGTAAAAATGAAGAATTAAAAAATAAGGATGCGTTGGTCACAGAGGCTGTTTGTGGAACTAAAGTAATTGAAACTCACCAAATGCCAGTAGCTTTAGTTACTCAGAATATGGCACAAGCTAAAGAACAAGTTGATGACGATGCTAATACGTTAAAGAAAGTAGATTCCTCATCAGTGGCACATAAAAGCCCTCCCATTAGTAATTCTCCTGATAATCAGGCAAAGCGCAAACAGAGGTTTAGTTCTGATGTTACTGAGACCAGACCAGAAAAAAATTATTTTATGCATATGGATCAGGGCGGACAGAATATTTTGGATGACCAGGAAGTCCCTCATGAGATAGATTCCTTTACGAGCAAGTTAAAGCCTACAGTTCAAAAACTGGAATTTTAAAAATTCTTACCTGTCGAATATTCTAAGAATATGCCATTAAATGTAGGTAGCTTTTACCAGGAAGGTCTTTCCAATGTAGAGCTCCCAGCTCTTGATAACCACAATGCTTCCATGAACTTCTCTATACTGGAAAACTCTGAAATTTGTGGGGAAAACCACGATAATAAAGCACTGGATGCTGAAAAAGCAGAACAAAAACCGGATCATATTTCTAAAGAGACTTACAAAGAGACTCTGACACCTTGTCATGGTAAGTGCATAGGTGAGAAAAAAAATGGCATTTTGAATTAAGTAGTGCCTGAAATAGTGGTATCTTCCTTTAATACTATCCTACTCTTATTGCTTGCTTAGAGTAGATAAAACAGGAGTGGAAAAAGGTAAGACTGAAAATCACTAGAATTATTCGTATTCTGTATCATCTATCAGTCACAATATATTTTTTTTTAATTGTGGAAACTAACATACTTGATACTTTTAAGTGTATTCCAAGATGACATTTAGTTGGGCACATGTAAACGGTCTACATTCTTCAGGAGCAGTTATAGCTGGAGCCTGTATTCATTGTTCAAAGAATGTGATAGAATTCAGAAAGTTGGGAACAGAAAAGATACAAGGAAATAAGAGTCAACTACACTGTTCCCTTCATAAATGGAGAACATAAAAGATTTCATTTGTATATCTTTAGAAACACTGTAATTCAACCAGAATTCTGAGATCTAAAAAAAGTACTTTGAGCAGGTTTTCTCTAGAATCTACCCATGAGCAAACTTCCATGTGGCAACCTCTTTTTTAAGTGAGACATATTAAGAAAATAACTAAATTTTAGTGCAGTCTGGGAGATGGGTTTAGATTCTTAAAATCTTAATATTATCAAAATATTTGTCTCCAAATTATATATTGATTGTTTAGTCTGGCATTCTGAATTTGTCTTACAAGATTACAGAAAGCTGACACAAATAGTACTTCTTCCACCAAGGCTGGTTACCTTATTGATGGAGTATTCCTCTTGGGCATGTTCAGTGGTTCAAAACACGAGGCATTGTAAATATTTTGGTAGTATACAGTTTTGAAGATAAGGAGGCTCACTGAATCACATTGCTATGCTTGTTTTATGCACATATGCCCAAAGAGCAGGCATAAAATTGGAAAATGCGGTACTAGGGAACCCTTGCACAGCTTGAATCTTCAGATTATACGTGTATGCCCTTCCCCTGCACTCAAGGCCATGAGCTGTGTGCAGTTTTGCTTTTTAAAATGCAATAACTCTTGGGAGTCTTAAGCAGCTAGGTGCAAATTACAGTGCTTATGGGGCTTTCTTAAAATGTCCCAAGAGCCTTGGCGGACCTCAAACAGCTCCAAATTTAGGTAGGTTGAAAGCTGCTGCAGTGTCATTTTCTTTGATCATCTATCCCATTATTTTGTTGAGCATCTTTAGAGTAGGAGCAGTAACCAATTTACCTGAATTAAGAGATATTAATGAAAAATAACTATGAATTGAAAGTTTACTTAATGATTCAGAAAATATTTAGAATGAGGCATATAAACTACTGTATTCACAGGGAGAAAGGCTTTGCAAGATGTGACAAATGTTAGTATGCGGTTTCACACTGCCTTACCTAAATTCTCCCAAAGTTTAGAGGAAAACTCGGCCTGTCTAGGCGAGGAAGAGCCACTACTTGCTACAAAGAACCCAATCTACGCAGGTAGGTATAGGTAAATCAGGGCTTTTATTTGTTTTTTTGAGTACATAATATCCCCAGCAAATATTTGCTGTTAAACACCCCAAATAAACAGTTGAACTGCCTCTTTCACAAATATCTTTTGCAAAGACACTTCAGTGTTCATATAAAACATTTCCTGTTAGTGTGACAGGATTTCCAAGTGCCAAAGTAAGACACCAACAGTATTCAAGTGTCAAAATTTAAATAAAACATATAATAGAACATTTTGTACTAGTAGTGAATAATGGTGAATTCTTAATGTTTATCATGATATAAACCCCTTTAGAGGTGGATAATTGTAAATGTTTTACTTAAATACAAACTTATACCGTAATAATGTCCTTGTAATATTGTCAAGTGGCAAGATAATCTATGCACTAACATATAATTCAGTATATTCAATAAATTAATTCATAAATTTATTAAATAAATAATTCAATATATGATATAATTCTGTTGTATTGCTAACTAGCTGTATCTAATACAAGAAATAATTTGAGTTTAAAATATATTAATTTGATAATTAGTTATTTATCTCGCAGTGCTCTTAGCAAATTTAGTGGCGCAGGATTTCCAGGATTGTTAAAAGACTAGACATGAATTGTGTAATAATTACAAATAAAGAGGATTTTAAAGCCAAACATCCACTAAGAAAACTAATATATTTGCATTTACATGAATAGATCTAAATCCCAATGGACCTTTAAGTTCATTACTTCTGAAAATATTCTGAGTTTTTTGCCACGATGTTGGTTGGGGTTTTTGTTTGTTTGTTTGTTTGTTTTTGCTTTTAAAAATGTACAATAATAATTTAAGGGAAAAGTACAGTGCGTGTATATAAGTAGAATGCATATTCATGAGGTAAAGACTATCAAAATTTCCCTGTAATAGTGTTGAGAGTGAAAGGATTATACCAATTTACTTTACGACAAAGGTGTAAAAAGAATGTGTCTTCCTTTTCTTGCAAAACTGTGGCAGGAGAAGAAAATAAATCCTTAAACTGAAAACATTAGCACACTGTTCTCATACACCCTCAACATATTTTTGTTTACCTCTGTAAGTAAGCAGACAGTTAATTGAAGCAAAGTCACTGAGAACAAATACTAAAAGTAATGTAGGAAGTGTCTTTTCACTTTACCATTGGCTTTTCAGAAATATTTATGCCAGATAGCTTGTAAAAGAAACGCAAAGGGATTAGACTTACATTCTTCTTTTACTAATTGAATTGGATGCTATAATGCTGTAGTATTATGATATTGACACATTCTCCTCTTTTACCCCACAATGATAAGGTTCTGTATTTCTGGAGAGAGATGGTAACTAATAACAGAAAAAAAATGTGGATGTCACTCAATTTAGATTACTGTCTCCTATTTACATTTTATTTTCAAGTATACTGTCCTGAATGGGTGCTGTTAAGCTTTTGGGCTAAACAATTTTTAAGTTTTGTCTTATACCTGTAAGTTACGATTACTCATATATTAATATGATACACGCCACATAAAAGGATTACTGGTTTTAGCATTATTTTGGAAAACTGTAGTTATCTATGCCTTGCTATTTCAGACATATCTATTTTCCATAGATTTAATTTCTTTAGTGTATCAAGCTTTCATTGAGAGTATTTCCCACTTGGAATTGTTATTATAACTACATAATTATAGTTACATAGGTGCTTGGTGATATTCGTACATGATGTCTTTTATTTCTTGTGTTTACAGCAAATTAAGGCGTGGGGATCGGTTTACAGATACACAATTTCTGGACTCCCCAGTCTATAAAGTAAAAAATAAAAGAAGTTTTAAAAGTAAATCAAAATTTATTTGAAGAAGACCAGAGAATGGCATTTAAGAACAATACTTCTAAAATGGGTACAATTTAAAAAATATGTATGTGTTTAGCAGTATAGACTGCTTATTTCTCTTTGATTAGTCTTCCAAAGTGGAATTTCCTGGAAAGGAGCCCCTGCATAAGGGATGCAGAATATGTTATGGAGGAAGGCAAATACAGGTTAAGCTCCACTCTTGTGTTTTGCGTTTCTGGTCAGTAATTTATAATCTGTTCAGAGGGTTTGCAGCACTTCTTAATTTCTAAGAAAAGTGTATGTTTTAATGAGAATTACAAATAAATCAGCTTTGGGAATTTTAATGCGAGATCTTCATATTTACCATGAGTAGAACTATACCTCAGTGCTGGCTGGAACGGACACGAGAATCCCAAATTTTAATAGATGTACTGAAATAGATAGAGACAGTGTGTCGTCATTGTGTCCCCCCCCTTTTTTTTTGATAGTTGACTTTTGGAGTTGACAGAACCATAATGAAATTTAAATGAGAACGTCTCATTTTGACGAATAGGAGAGACAAGTCTAGTGTCCAGAGGATGTGCCAGAGGCAGCCAGAAAGAAAACAGCACTGCAATAGAAATTCTATAGTAAATAGGATCCAGACAAAGCAATGCCTTGAGTTTACAATCGAGAGTGCACTAGTGTGATGACTAATACCACCGCATCATACCATTCAGCTATCAGGTCTTTGTACTGCTTCCCCTCGTGAATCACTTCTGCATTGCATCGTGCACTGTCAGGTGACAAACAGTTTTCTGGCGTTCTCTGAATCATAGCTGCTGCCAGCTGCAGGCTATAGCTCACAGCACACACAACTTTTACAGCTTACATCGGACAAGGTTCAGGTTCATTTTGCAACCAAGACAGCCATAGCTCATTTTTAATGAGACACAAATAATTTAACTTCTTTTGGTTCTAGAAGGTGGTTCTTCACACAGTGTGCAGTTATGCTGAGGAATTCCTTACTACAGGAGTAGATATTATTAGTTTACGTGGGCTTAAATATTGATCAGATAAATTAATGGAAGAAAAATCTATGACAAATTACCAGAAACACCATTTCTGACATAGGATGTCCCTGAATTGAAAGTTGTTGAAGGCTGGAAGAGTATTCTGGAGAAGCCTTACTATGCTATTAAACAATTTTTATACATTTTTCCGAGGGCATTCAGTGTTGAAACTTTCAGATACCATTCCTTTAGTTAGCTGCACCTTTGGTCTAACAGAATTACACCTCTTTTTAAGAGGCATAATTGATACTCTTAAATTTATAGTGTATTCTTTAAAATACCAAAACCTCTGTACTTCATTGTAGCTTCCACTGTAATATGGGAAGTTCTAACCCTGGAAAGATGATGGAGCAGCTCATTCTGGATGTCATCATTAAGCAAGTGGATGAAAAGAAGGTTATCAGGAGTAGTCAATAGGGATTTAACAAGGGGAAATCATGCCTGACCAATCTGATAACCTTCTACGATGGCATGACTGGCTGGGTGGGTGAGGGGAGAGCAGTGGATGTTGTTTGTTTCAACTTTAGTAAGGCTTTTGACATTATCTCTGATAACATCCTGCAGACGAGCTGGCCGAGTGTGTGTGTTTAAGTGCACATCCAGGTGGGTTGAAACCTGGCTGAACTGCCAGTCCCGGAGGGCTGTGATCAGTGGCGTGCAGTCCAGTCGGAGGCCAAGCACCAGAGCTCCCTAAGGTTTCATATCGGCACTGGTACGGTTTCACATCTTCACTAATGGCCTGTATGATGAGACAGAGTGCAGCCTACACTTATTTGCCATTGATACAAAACCGGGAGGAGTGGCTGAAACACTGGACGGTCGTGCTGCCATTCCGAGGGACCTGGATATGTTGCAGAAATGGGCCATATCGGCACTGGTACGGTTTCACATCTTCACTAATGGCCTGTATGATGAGACAGAGTGCAGCCTACACTTATTTGCCATTCATACAAAACCGGGAGGAGCGGCTGAAACACTGGACGGTCATGCTGCCATTCTGAGGGACCTGGATAGGTTGCAGAAATGGGCTGAGAGGAATCTCGTGGAGTTTGACACGGGGAACCTACGTCCTGTAAGTTGCCAGAATTTCAGCTGCATATTTTGACCGAAAAATGAGTCGTCCATATCAAAATGTACTCCTGGATATAGCTTTCAGGTGTGTCCATTCTACATGTAAGTCTGCACTACATAAACAGTAAGAGGTACAAAAGCATTATTTACAAATATTTACCACACTTGTTTTCTGTTGTGGTTTTTTTATGACAGTCTGTAGCACCAAGGCATCTTCCCCAAGATCCTGTAGAATATTTCATGTATGAATTTGGAGTTAAATATGCCGCTAGCGACGTAGTTTACATGGGGGACCTTTATGCCCTAAGCAGAGGGCTTGTCTGGCTGTGCTCACGAGTTCCAGAGACTATGCAAAGGTTGTGAATGTACGGTAATAAGGACAGCAAGATGTTTCCATATAGAACCTCACCGGAAGAAAAATAAGTATTCCGTCAGTATGACAATTCTTCCAATATTAAATTTCCCTTATCACCCAGGCAATGTGATCTGTATTGCAAAATGGAGTTTATTTGAGAACTTTCAGCAAACAGACTTTTTCTTTCCTAAGCATGCTGTGTACATCTCTACATCAGCAACACCATTATGAAGAGGAGCAGAAATGGTTGCGAAGATAGATAGTATCTTGATTCAATATTATTTAGAAAATAATTACATACAGAATATTTTTTTATACATTCTTTCCTGTATTTTTTTACTAAACTTGTAATTAAATTTTTTTTTAATTGAAATGTTCTTGCTGGCTTTCACTGTTTATCAACATTGCCAGCTGTGTCATTAGAAATCCAAAAGAATTATTATCTGTTACAACCTATGTTCCCTGTGCTGGCACTGCAGCAGCAAGGGTGTTTTAAAGTGTTTTTTTTGTCTCTGTTGCCCATGGTTTGAAAGCTAAACACAGAAGCACATGCCTCATTTTCTCAGAAAAAAATAACCTTTTTGGAGATGGTCTTAATTGTTTCTTTCAGTGCAGGTCCTGTTGTTCCACACAAGCTCAGGTGTTACCAGCTAGACTGCTACGGTGTTCCAAATAAAAGCATGTAGTTTTCAATAAAAGTACAAGGCCTAGGGCTTCATGCCTTAGTTTCTCCCATTCCTGTTAGTATAGCTATCTTTCAAAGCATAAAGAAAATGACCTGAAGATGGGCACAAGTTATTTTAAGTAACTCTGAAATCATATTATTGCTGGTGCTGCCTTTCTGTCCTTGTTTTCTCCATCCTTACTGTTTTTGTTGCTCCAGCTGATGTTCTATACACAGAGCAAATTTACTTGGTCATTTTCTAGGGTGCGGTTCTTTTGTCCTGCAAACAGGTTGCTTAGTTTAGGTACTGCATAAATAACGTTACATTGCCTGCTGAATCTTCATTAAATGTGCTTCTTTTACCAGATCAGCTGATATATTAGAAGCTCATAAAAACAGCTCATGCTATTAGAGATAAAAATTAATCTGTAACTGTCACAGGGACTGATTATTTTGCTGAGGATAAAGTAATTTGAGCTTCTTTTTATAGCTTCAAAGTTGCTTCTTCTCATTTTTATTCAGCCTTTTTTTTCTACATTTAATATTTCAGTTTACTGCCGATAAAGATTTTTATAGTTTCAAAATTTATAGGAAAATTAATTCTATCTATTTAGAATAAACGGGAAGAGGAAAGTACTTACGACCCCACCAACCCCGACTTGCAGAGGCAGCCCTCACAGACGCCGGCTGTTCCGTGAGCGCGGGCTCACGCAGAGCTCCCC